GGCGATGGTTACAGTTGAAAAAGTGAAAGCAAAGGAAGAAGGAAATGATAAAATCACGTTTATAGTGCTGTTGTTAGCTCATTACTAATTCCAACATACATCAGCTTCGACTGGCTTTTGTTATGTACGACATCGACTCTGCCCACGATGAAGTGGAGAGAATGCCTCGTTTTTGCATTTAATTTTCCTTCGCCATTCATTTCAACGTTTTTTCTCAATCCGGCTGTAGCGCCTCATCGTATGATCAACACCCCCTAGCCGGACTCTAGCCGTGGATGTGTAGGTAGGGTTAGAAGTAAACACGTTGGCCCAATCCGCAATGTCCTGCATGAAAAACATGCTTTCTAACCAAGTCCGTCAGAAACTCACATAATTTGGTGGGCAATTTCGTCATGATGGGCAGCCGAATTTTTGCTAACAATCTTGATATATAACTAATTTTTCCCTTAGTAACTCAGTACTAGTCTTTTTGCTATCCTTTCATGGGAAATCTGATAAAGGACTACAGTAAAAATCGTTTCGTTTTCAACAACACATGATTTTTTGCCAGTCTTTCCCTTTACCAGTGTAACCGGTAGGACGTATGATAGTACTAAATGGAGCTCCGGCCTATAAGGCTTCAGGACACTTTTCGGATACACATTATGCTCGCCAACGAGAAAAGCCCTACCCGCGACGGAATGCCGAGCGGCTTTTTGCATCTCGTACACTCGGACCCACCCACTTGTCAGTGGCGCCTGGTGAAATGCGGTCGGGTAGCTGACCCTTTTGCCTCCAACACCGACAACCTGGACCACATCTCGGCTGGTGAGACCTTGGTCAGGCGAAATCGTGCCTCCATGCTTCCCCCAACTGCCCGAGATGACCGTCTTCCTTTGTTGCCGGAAGCCACACAAAAGGGACCACTTTTCACTTATTTGTCAACACAGAGTATGCCTTGACTGAAGGCATCACTCAAGTGCTCAAACCTACTCACAATTCTGAGACGTGTTGCCCAGTGACACGTCCAGACTACCTGAGCTCACGAACCGCCAGGGAGCACTCCTGTTGTCCATTTTTCAGGCATTTTTTCCGCCCCCAGTACTCTAGCTTTATAGTCTTTTGTGCTCAGCAACATGTTACTTGACCAACAAGTGATAAGAGGCACTGACAATCGGTCTGAGCCGACTTTGTTCACTCCAAAAGTCTTTTTTAGCCTTTTCAACAAAAATTGTCTCGAGAACGTACTCATTTGCGAAAAAAATAGTTGTAGTCACCCTGTCGTAAAAAGTGATGATGGTTGAATTTTCCCACAATGATACAATTGGGCCTGACTTGTTTCCCAAAAGATATTCTCATCCAAGTTAGGCTGGACTGTAGATTCGACCCCGCCTGGCTTTCATCAGCACCTCAAGCAGGACTCGAACCCGGGTAGTGCAACGCATAATCCCCACGTGTTACCACCACGCCAGACTGTCATAGGGCAGATGTGAATTTCAATATAGGCCAGACCACTCCCATACCACGTTTTTATAGTAAAGCAAACCTGAGTTTTTCCCATAGGAATTGACTACTTTACTTGTATTCGGATGAAGTAGGTGTTCGAGACTATCAGTAAATCTTGAATAAAAGGTTTGACCACTATAAATGTGACATTGGAGAGGCCTGACATTCTGTGAAACTCACTACCATTGACCCATGAACGCTCGTCATCGTGTGGGCGTAGTGACAACATGTCGAGAGTATACGCTGAACTACCGAAACCCAGTTTCGAGTCCCGTTAGAGGTGCTGATGAGACTGCAATCTAATCTGGTCTGGATGAGAGTACCTTTGGGGAAGCAAGGATGTGTCAAATTTAATTGAAAGGTAAAAATTAAATTATCAATTTTGACATGACTCTCCATTTCGAAGGGAAAGTTTGTTGGAAGGAATTCGTAATGTGGTCTCATCGGAAAACGAAGGATGATTGCCGCTTAGGGAAGACTGTTGAATTGTGCGAAGAAGTCCTCGGCTCAACGTCCTACGACCCCGATGAAATTGTGCTAAACTTTTGTCTCTACTGTGACAGACATCATCGGAGCAGGAATCCATACTTCACGAAATAGAACAAAAATATACCATCAGCAACCCCGGTATAAGAAAGCGACTATGGTTGCAGGTGGCAGAGGAATTCTTTGCACAATTCACCAGTCTTTCCTACGCGGTAATCCTCTTTCGGTTTCCGGTGAAACTACATCATGTATTTCTTCCAACCAACTTTACCCTCAAAATAGAGAGTCATGTCACGATATATCACAAAGTAATTCTTCAAAACCCAGTTTTTATTCATATTAAATTGTCAATCCTCATCACCTTGCACGACCTAGAGTGACTAGAAGTCTTATTCAAGGTCTACTGATAGTTTTAAAACCCACTTTCTATGTCTACCAGTTTTCGCAACTGAGCACGACCTCTCTACAGTAAGGGAAAACTGCGAGCAAAATAAAGGACACACCATCATAGTCTTCATGGCTTCCCAGAATAGCCTAGTTTCATCCGCCATCTTCTACTTGATTTCTCTCATCTCGGCCAAAAACCCTCTGTCGTTCCTAAGGCCCCTGTGATGGACTTTTTCTGGCCGGGCCCCCTTGCACCCGGACTTGACCAGTTGGTGAATGCGATCGACTTGCTCGAATTTTGGCTCCATGGCAACGGCACTTCAACACCTTTCACAGCCTCCACTACCACTCCTTCTTCGGAGTTGGAAAATCTGGTCTACTCTTCACCCGTTGGAGGTTGTGGCCTTGGTGCCGGCTCAGGGCTCCAGGAGGACTTCTTCCCTGGAGGTCTAGCCGGCTTTGGAGGCGGTCTGGGCAGCCAGCGCGTGGCTGTGCTCCATTGCACAGGCCCCAAAGGACTGTTGGCCGTTTATCTGGCAGCTTACATCTACCAAATGCGTGCCAGACTCGGACCGACGTTTGGCAGACGGTCAGGATCGCCACAGGCTTTGGGTCTGTGTTGGGACGACAATCGGTTTCGCCGGTGAGTGGCTAATTGGGGATGCCAGAGCTCTATCGGTAGGTCCTCTTTAGGTCCAAACGAGTGAACAGGTAGCCGAACTAGGTTGTTGAGGCTATTGTAAACTCACGACGAGAAAGCACCTTGCAGGCTGCACAAAATCTTCTCTTCGACGCAACATTTGGATTTCGAGACTAGCAGTTATTCTAGTACAACAACCTAATCAGCTTTGGTCACTTAAGGTAACTTAGGGAATGATAGTGGAGTTTTTCCACAATGAAAATGTACTTTCTAAACAGCCACCTGATTACTGAAATCTTGGATACATCGACTGTCGACAGGAAAATAAGTAGCTATTGCGATTTGTAAAAACGGTAATTGGTATTTGATCGACGTATATTGCCGAGCATTTTTTATTAAAAAATGTTCACAGAAAGACTGTATATTTGTGAGGGATAAAAAATGCTATTTCTGTTATGACGAGGCGCCCCTGCACTCTTGTAAACGGAAATCATGACCTATCGGGAGTGGATAAGTGTCTTCATCAATTTATTCGACACTGGAGTAGCCTGAGCCATACAATAGCCATTCTTGAAATCGCAACTTGGAGTGTGAACAAATTTGATACCAAATATAGTAAGAACGGCTTGGGTCAAATTCATCTCAAGTTCATTTAATCAAGTGCATACTCGTATATATATGCATATATTGGAGGAATAAATATGTTATCGTGTATAGTAAATAACTTGGGGCAAAATATATATATATACATACGATTTTGCACTTGACTTAATGGAATTAATATAAGAGAATTAGTAGAGTCTCGAAACTCTACTCCCTCCTCCTCCCTCCTCCAATATGTATATATATATATATATATATATCTTGAATATATGATAAGCATATTATGCCTAATTTTTACTCAAATAAGGTATGGGAATCGCCTGGTTCTGGAACACATCGCCCTGAAGCGGTTCTACGATGACACACTGGCCTGTGAAATCAGTCCCTCTCAACGCAGGTGAGTATCTTCTTTCACGGGTACAGATCCTTTTCGGTCTTTGCCTACTAAAGTGATTTTGGCATCTCATTTC